CCATAATGTACAAGTAGCACATCTCCAGTGAAAATGATACTTCTTTTGTCTCTCTTGTTATTTTTTTTTTATTCTTGTTGATTTATGAGTGCCACGCTAAAATCCTGCAAGTGGAAAGTATCGTAGCCAAGTAATAAAGTGTGCTACAGTATTGTTTCTTGGATATTACATTATTAAATTAGATTCCTATTAATGCTAACTTTAACCAAGTAGCAAAATTTTATGGAAATGGATGATTGCAAATTAAATCTATAACTAATCTAAATATAAACCTTTTAACTAATTGAGAAGCATGTATGAAACTCAATTAGTGGAAAATACTATGACTTCGAATACGCCTATATTCTCCCTTTTCAATACCAAACCAAGAATTTGATAGCACCACTCAGATTTGAAATCAATGTTCCTATTTTATTTAATAATTTCTCTCGAGTGGAATTAAACATATTCTTACATATGATCCTAATATATCTCTATGAAGGATGCATATACATGATGATGCATTATATTACAAAAACATTCATAAGGTCATGTAAAGTATAACGATATATTTCTATGTCTTATACGAGCTTACAATTATTGTTATTATGTGTTATAATTCTTATTCTCTCTCTCTCTCTTGTAGCTCTGGGAGAACTAACATTCAATTTTAGGGCATCAGGGCGATGCTCCCAATTCTCTTCAACAAGAAAGAATTTGTCCAGCCATTCTCGGACTTTTTTAGCGAACGAAAAAAGGTCTTGCATCCTTATCCGGGGCGAGGGAAAATTTTCTATCAACCCTTGGAATCATTCACCTCGTAGGGGCAATATATCGAAACAAAAAGATCGGCTGGCATCTCCCTTCGAGCTTCACTAGATGCCAAAGTAAATAGGCTGCTACCATTAGGGCCACTGATTCGGCTTCACTTGTGTGGGCGCCTAGTTGAAATAACTTCAGATAGAAAGATAAAAATGATGCAGTGGAAGGCAAAATCCGTGCTCCATCACCAGTTCGCAAATCGACAAACAACCTTTTGGAGATTTTTTTAATGCAACAAATATACATAAAGAAGATCGTGGATTCGGCTCAGGATATCGCGACTGAAGAAACAAGCAAAGATCAGCTATGTAGATAAATTTGAAATTCCTTATCAGTCAAGGTCCAAGCTGAAAGCTAACATGACACAAATGCTACAAACTGATGGACAGTTAGATTGATCCCACAAAAGTAAAGACCAACATGACTAAAATTCATGAATTCTAGACCGAGTCTAACAATGCAGTTCAAGTTTGAAGATGACAATAAAAAAGCTAGATGAAGGTGTTGTATACATTTTGTGCTTGTTTAGATTCATATAAGCTAATCTTGGATACTCGTAGTTGTGTTCTCCTTGACATGAATTTCCTTTACTCCAGTCCGTGTGAATTCTGAGGGAGGTGGCTCAGAACATGCCTTCATAACTGTTGGGAAATAAAACGGATTGAGGTAATATATATGTTGGAAAAATGGGTTTATGGCTGACTTTGTAGCTAAATTTGAGTGTGACCCAGTATTTCATTTTGGAATATGAAAGTTGATTTGTGTTCTCCTCCATGAGAACATCAAAATCATATATTTACTTGTCAAAAATGATGTTCGGATGAATGAGAAATTGGAGCTCAAAGTGTGCCAATTGAAAGAAATCTATGTGTTGGAAGAAAACCAATTAATGGTTGTCCCACATAGGAAAATGAAGAAAACAAAAATCATTTTATATAAGATTACACTTTGGAAGGGTGTGATCATGTGCAGGCCCGGTCCTGAGGCGAGGCGAATGTGGCCGCCGCCTCAGGCCCAAACCTGGAAGGGGCCTAATTTTTTGGCCCAAAAAATATATTTTTTTTTTTACTAGGCCCAACTCTGTAGAATGAATTAGGCCCAATTCTAACCT